TGTGTGTAGTTGTGTAGTTGTGTGTATTGTGTAGTTGTGTAGTTGTGTGTCCGTGCGTGTGGAACTTGAACAAACTTCACTTCCTCGACATTTTGTGCACCATACAGCACACGGAGCTTCGGAGGCTGTGATTGGACGGCGGGGCCGGGGGGGCGGGCTCTGAGTGACACCATTAGAGCGCCCATTGGTCGCGCTGTGATAGTGGGACGTGTCCGTACGCCGGTGTCTCCCTAGTTGCGCAAGACGCCATTTTGGAGCGACAGATAACGGAACGATCGAGAAGCTGCGTATTTAAAGGTAAATATGCGCATTGACGCGGTGGTTTTAGTTTAAAACGCGAGTTAACGCGAAGCAGTTTCTACTTTGTCTCAACTGCGCGGTCCAATCCTCCGTTTAAAGCTACGTCACGATGCGCTGTCTCTACTGTGACGCGGCACTTAGCTAGCGGCGGCTCCGTTGTGATGGCCGCTAACGCAGATTCCACAAAACCGAAAAGCCACCGAGAGAAAAGAGTTCGAGCCCCGGCGGAGCTTCAGCCCACCCCCCGCTGTTGTGCGTGTCTCGATAATTCGTCGCGGTGTGTGATTTACACCGATGCGTTCCGCCTGGTCGTCGCCTGGCGGCTAGCGGTTAGCTAACTGACCGAAGCATCCGCCCTTAAAGCAGTCCGCGGTAATCTGCTCCGAGTCTCACCGAGCGACCGACGCCACATGGCTCCATCTGTTCACCTGCGAGAAACCTTTAACGCTCGACTGTCAGACAACACGCGGAGCTCGCTGGGTCAACGTGTCCGTGAGCTCGAAGCGTAGCCGGATCGTGGGCCTCCTGCCGAGGCCGGGGTGTTGTTAGCGTGCTAGCAGGCGCCCACCGACAGTAACAGTATCCGTGCTGCTGGAGCCGACAGGTCACCAGCTGGACCAGGCCTCTGTTGTCTGATGGTCGGTTCTCTGCTCCGTTTATCCGGATACCAGCGTGTCTCGATCCGCTGCTGTCGATTATCGTCGTTGCATTAACTTCCAGGCAACATTTTCACCATTAATCACCGATCTTCAGGTTTGTACGATGTAGAAAACGACCACTTCCTCAATCCCGAGTGGACGTGTCCAGATGTCAATGTCCGATCAGTGTTTGAAATCCGAATATAACTCGCACTTTAGCTCGATATGTTTTTGTACTAAAGGTCGAACATTTCTCCATTCATCAGATCATTTCCTGTAAAACAATATAAAAACAAGGAAGCTAACCGGTGTGAACCTTTTCATGGGTCTTGTTTGTCAAACCAACAGCCTTTGGGTTTATATATTCAGTAAACTGTCGTTTATAGAGATTAACTTTGTTTTAACATTTACATGCAATAATCATCCATTTTCATCCAATCTTCTTAAAAAATCATTTTATAACTGCAGCCATCAAAATATCCAGTGATAATTCCCCAGGGTGTATTTTAAGTGTTTATTTTCTGTTTAATCCTGAGGTTAATTTATTTATTAATAATATAATAGGTGATTTTTGGGAGTTTTACTCTGGTTGAGCGTAAAGAAAAGAGGATTTCGCACCTTGTTAAACCCTATAAGACAAATTGTGATTGGCAAATCAAATTTGATAATTTTTTGCCGTTAAATCGTTAAAAAATTGTGAAAAACATCCATCATTACATCATCTGTTGCTCTAGTGTCAGAAAACAGTGATTTATATTTCGATATTATCTCCTTCAGTCCAAGGTGACATTCAGTTTACAGTGATGTAAACCAGAAATTGTTGCTTAACAAAAATGGTAAAATAATCTTTCAACCATCAATGTAATTTGTGAATTCATTCGCCAAACATTTCTGCTCTGGTTCAGTTTACAGCCATGACAGGGAAAAATATTATTTCAATCTTATAATTTTAGACTCTTGAACCTAAAAATTACTAAAATGACTAATCAATCTCTGAAGTATTTCACTTAATACGTTTTTATTCTTACTGACTGACTAATCCTTGCAGCTCCAAACTTATGTTTAGCATCATTGTCGTGACATCGCTTTAAAGTGAATAGAGAGACGAGGACAATGGCTGGTGTTGTTGGGGTTGAGTGCTAATGTAAAGCCACAAACCCTAACCTCAATGTTTAACCATTAGCTTAAGTAAACATCTCGACTGTGCTCCGACGTTACGCCTTAACTGCTTTTACACAGAGGGCAGCGACGTATGGATTTTTTCTTACTGCAGCAAAGCCAAATTCTCCGGGTTTTACTCGCAGGTCATTTCTGAAAATGGCTTAATTGTGCTGCGTTCGGTGCTGATCATGAAATAAAATATTGCAGAGGGACTCACCTCGGTGACAGGTGGTACTTTAAATGTTATCTCCATCATCCACTCTCTACCTCCTCCTTTCCTCTTTCTGCAACTCAAAAGCTGCCGACGTTAACGCCTCTAACTCTTCTTCCTCCTCTCCGACAGCTTCGTCATCATGGGGAATGTGATGTCGAACCTGTTCAAGGGCCTGTTTGGCAAAAAAGAGATGAGGATTCTCATGGTCGGCCTTGATGCTGCTGGAAAAACAACTATCCTATATAAACTGAAGCTTGGAGAGATAGTCACCACCATTCCCACCATTGGTATGAACGTCTTCCCTAATTATTCAAATCACTGTGCTTATGCTCTTTTTGAACACTTTTGCCTCCTGTCATTCTAGGGCCGGCTGCCTTTTGATAAAAAATGCTGAAAGTTTTCCATTATCAACCTAGTTGGTGGTTCATTTTCTGATTTGTTTCTCAGCCCTGCTCTGTTGAGCTAATTTTAAGCTCTGGGACACTTTCACCGACCCAAAGCTTTTAATTAACCTGAACTAAAATTTTAAAATATTTTTCTTGACTCCTCTGTTTTTCTCCTCCTCTGTCTAGGTTTTAACGTGGAAACTGTAGAATACAAGAACATCAGCTTCACAGTGTGGGATGTGGGCGGTCAGGACAAAATCAGGCCGCTGTGGCGCCACTACTTCCAGAACACTCAAGGTGAGGGGGACGTAATGTTCACTGGCAGTGGTGTCAGTGACCATTACTGCCAATAGGTGGCCTCGCTGATGCATAAAAGATGATCTTAGAGTTAGAGAACCAATGACTCATACACCATTGTTCAATTCTCAAAGGGAGTATTGTGTGGTTTCCCCCTGAATGTAATTTATCTGTGTGAAGGCCCTGTAGGATTACATATGATGTAAGCTGCAGCTAAATTGTCAGTTCAACCAGTATTTTGATTTAGTTTTACAATGATATGTTCCATACAAAAGTCCATTATGATTTTAAATAATTCAGCAGCTTAACACCTCTGGTCGTGCTTTAGCTTCTCATCGTCTTTTGTGCTCGCACCACATAAACATCCTGCAGCAGCAAACATAGCAATCCACACACAGAGCATCCAAGTGCAAAATTAAATATGTGGACCCTCGTTGGTGGTGACAGTTGCGTTCAGCATCATTTATCAAACACAGTCCAGGAACCGGATGTTTTACTCCAGAACAAATGGAGGTTTTCTGCTGCTGGCAGAGACGCAGCTGCTCTAGCGTTGGTACACATTGACAGCTTATTCAATCAGAAGATTAAATGTTTGACATTTCTTTCATTTCTTACCTGACACTTCATTCCAGACCTCTCAAAATCCTTCAAATGAAATACTCCACAAATGAAAATCGCTTCATTTCCATGAACCTACCATAACTTGTAGCCACAGTTTAGTTTAAGGGGGCACAAGGCAAAAATGAGGGGCCACTGCTCGACTGTAAGAAAGACGAGTGCACAACTGAAACTGCCAACAGTTATTTTTTAAAATATATTGGTATCATCAAGCAGTATGTGGATCTTAATTTAAAAGTTTTGCACCACTCAGTGAATAAAGAGGCATCGATTCCTCTGACCTCCCTGTAAAATGTGTCGTTTATATCTGACACATGAGCAAAGGGGAAAACCCTCTGTTGAATTCATCCTCTTTCTTTCACTGGGTATTGACTCCTTTGGTTTAGTGATAATTAGACGACAGTAGAATCTGCCAGTAATTTAACAGACGGTGTTGGTTTCTGTGCCGAGTACAGATGCAGCAATCAAAACCAGTTTCGACTCCTGTTACAGCCTCGAGGTGTCCGTGTGACAAGCTCCTGCAAAAATAACTCAACGCAACAACTCAACAAACAAAAATAAAGTGAGCGACATGGAAGATGGTGATGAAACTTTTGTACACTTAAAAAACACTAAACCGCCACATGTACCAGAGCATCATCGCAGATCATTTGTCTTCATGGCGACAAATCTGCCCTGAGACCTTTATCCCCCCTCCCCCCCCTGGTCTGGATCAAAGTGAACCATCGTTCGGTTCGTTTGCATAGTGAAAACCCTTTTTTTTATAGTTTGGACCTCCGGTGATAAAATGTTTGAATAACGACTTCAGGTTCTTCCTTCCACTGTTGAAGTCTGAGCACGTTCTGCTGAGTCTCCTTTTCAAAGTGTCTTCTCCACTGAAATGCTGCATTTTGATAGAGGCAAGTCGTAAAAGCTCTTGGCAGCACAAAGTAATAAATAATGATACCATCAAAGTTTTTCAGCTTTTAGTTTGATGGGATTTCACACTTAACTGGGCCACAGTTAACAAGCAACTCATCTTTAATGTTTTTTTTGTTTTCTGCACTTGACGGCAGCGTTGGTAACGTGACAGCACAATTTTCATACCTGACTTTTAATCTCCAGTTTTCAGAATAATCCTCACAACACTTTGAGGTTATTGTTTGAGATAACGTGTGGAGCTGCTCTCACAGAGCATGAATACAAGGCTTTGATCCGGTCAAAGAGACTCATTAAGCAGCAGGAACAATTTGCACATAATTAATTATTGATAGGGAAAAGTCGCAGCGTTTGATCTGGTCGAGATGAAAATGTTTTTAAACGAGAAGACAAGTGACATTTCTGTGTTACAGTGAATGACACAGACGTATGTGACATTTCATTTGAAATAGAACAGACAATATTTGACTGGTCACAACCACGGGCTCTTTCTAAAAAGAGACGTAGAAAACTGAAGCCAGAAATCGAAGCCAACTTGGAATTGTTGGAAACCTGTATTGTGTGTAAAGACCAGCAGGGGGCGACTTCACTGGTAGTTTCTATAGAAGTCTATGAGCAAAAGACTCTATTCTCCATCACTGTGTGTGCGCAGGGCTCATCTTTGTGGTGGACAGCAACGACAGGGAGAGAGTGAACGAGGCGAGGGAGGAGCTGGCCAGAATGCTCGCCGAGGACGAGCTCAGAGACGCAGCGCTGCTCGTTTTCGCGAATAAACAGGTGAGTTTGTTGGTTTGAGCGCTTCACACCGAGGTAGAGGATTTGTTTTCTGATAGTTCTACTGGATTTTGATCACGAAGAGATGATGTGGAGGCGTCTGAATGAATCCAGTTACATCAGATAAGATAAAATAATACTAACAGCACATTATAGGTTCAGCTCTTTCCTGTTTATGAAACTTGAGATTTATTTTCTTCATCAAATGTAAAACAACTTTAAATTCTTTACATGTGTACTCAAAAACAACGGGCAGTTGATTAATCAAATTTTAAGTCATTAAATGTGGTTTTGCACATAAATTCTTGTCATAGCCTTTGTGTGGATTAGAGATCAGATTAGGAGTTAAGAATGTTTTAAATCATCTTTAATATCCTGTTTCCTATTAATCCTGCATCGTGATGAACGTTGTCGTCTTCCCCTCTAGGATCTCCCCAACGCCATGAACGCTGCAGAGATCACAGACAAGTTGGGCTTGCACGCCCTCCGCCAGCGCAACTGGTACATCCAGGCCACCTGCGCCACCAGCGGGGACGGCCTGTACGAGGGCCTGGACTGGCTCTCCAACCAGCTGAAGAACCAGAAATGATCCATTCCACCAGTTTTGATTTCTTTTTTTTTTTTGTTTTGTTTTGTTTGTTGTTTATTTTTTCTGTTTCAACACAGCGGCAGCACCGGACCCAGGCCCCTCCGCTCCCATCCAACCTCCCATCCAACCTCTGCTCCCATCCAACCTCCCATCCAACCTCTGCTCCCATCCAACCTCTGCTCCCATCCAACCTCCGCTCCCATCCAACCTTCAACCCCAGCTCTTTCTTTCAAGAACTTCCATCATTCCCTCGCTCTTCCCCCCCCCCCACTCTCTCCCTTCGTCAGTGGGGCTCTAGCCTGTGCTGCTTGTGTGTGGGCGTGTGAGTGTGTGTGCGTGTACATGTGTGTGTACCTTGTGTGTTCAGCGAGAGTGTGTGGGTGTGAAGGCGTCTCTGTGTGCGTTGGCTGGGACTGGGAGTAACCCTGGCGTGCCTTTTACACACCCTGTGAAATCAGCAGTCTGGTTTTCAAGCCCCTCTCTCTTTCTCTCTCTCTCTCTCTCTCTCACCTCTCTCTGCCTCCCTCCCTCTCTTTTTCTCTCTCTCTCTCTCCATCCACCAACCTCCCCCCCCCTCATTCTCAGTCTTGCACGGCCCCCTTCCCCCCCACCCTTACTCTCCAGAGGAAGCATGGTTTTCATACGGCAAAGAAAGAGCAAGGGTGCAAACGCTCCTCCCCCGTCTCTCGCGCTCCCTCCCTGTAGTATCTATGTTGAGTAGAAACGTTCGCCCGCGGTAGACTGAATGCTACATGTTCATTTCAACCTCTTTTGATTTTCAACCCACCAGTAAGAGATTCATTAAGTTGCATCTTAACCTGTATCAGGTCGACGCAAAACAAAAAACAACAAGAAAACGTTTAAAAAAAAAAAACCCACGGCAACAACAAAAGCCCATCCTTGATCATTCTTGTGTCACTTGAAAATCATGCTGTTTGTTTTATTATTATTATATTGGAATATAACAGATTATTCTTAGCAATGGTTCTCCAATGAACACTACCTTTCTCCCCCCCCCCTCCCGACCTCCCCCACCAAATGAGACCGTGAAGCACAAGGCAAGCCAACAATCTTAAAAAACGTTATAAATTAGAAACCTGCAAGTATATGCAATTCTAGTCTTTTCCGATTCTTTTGGTAGCTGCATTTGGATTCACTGGATTAAATTGGATTTTTCAAGACGACCTCCAGAGTAATTAATCATTCTGACAGTGTTCCTACTTAATGTAGGTGAAAACCAAGGTGTTGGGCATTTCACAAACTTCAGCCGGTTGAGACAGTGTCCCGATACATTCAAGCTTCACATGTTATTCCTTTCAGAGATGTTACATGTGGTTTTTTTTCTGTAACTAGTTTTAGCATTTCTATTTGTACTATGACTGCTGAACCAAATGCATTTGAGCAGTATGACAAATCCTGTATATGAGAGTAGTGTGTCCTCGAGGGCCTGAACTGCGTACTGAGGTTTTCCCTCAACAATGGTTGGCAGTTAAACTCTGAAACCTGATAAGCATACAGCTGTCTAACGTTTGTGGTTGGGATGAAGGATTGGCACCAAATATGAAGGTTTCTCTTCCTGTGAACAGTCCAGACATCAAGAAGGAAAACCCAGTGTGAGCGTCTGGGTGTTCGCAGGCTCCTACTTCTGCATACTTCATGACTGAAAGACCCGACACGTACTCTGTCAGCGGCTCGACAGCGAGTCTGGAAGGACCTGGTGGTCGACCTGCGAAGGGGAACGGGTGTGCAGTGAGCTGGTCAGGAGATCCGGCGGGCGTCCTCAGTGCAGAACCGTGGGGGTTAAGCTGGCACTTCTGTCAAGAATGATTGTAAATCTGTAAGTTCCCCTGTAAACTGTTTCTGTGGGGATTTCCTGAACACATTAATAAACATGATTTGATCCAACAGTTGATGGAGAAACTGACTTTTCTTTGGTTTCGTCTTGGTTTTTAAACAATATAACGCTGATTGTTCTTAAACTTCATGCAGAGGCTGAACGATAAGAAATTCACAGCTTGTTAATATTTAACTCAAACTGAACCGAAGGGAAGCAGATCTAATTTCACCCAGGTCAGAGACAAGCAAGTGTCCAGCTCAGTGTCAACCACCAGGGGGAGACAGAGAGGTCTGGATGTGTAGCTCAGCAATTGTTCCCCCTGTTTTCAATAAATTGTATTTTTTACTTCCTGGTCATAGATTGAAAAAAAAAAAATCCTAAATCAATAATATATAAATAAAAAGATACACAAATGGAAAAAATAAAGTTTGGTATTAAAAAATGCTTTTTTACATATTTCCAAGTTTATTCATGGATTCCAACGTTTATCTTCTCATTCATATGCATTTTATCATTAATTATTTACCTATGTAGCTTGTAGTTCTGTAAGTTTTTGTCCTCTATATTGGGACCTGATCTTTTTAATGGTTTCATTTACAATTCATTCATTCTGTGTCTGAAATTCTTGAATGCAAAACAGCAGAAATGTATATATAAATATATAATATATAGAAATAATATTACCATTAACATTGTAAATAATCTTTACAGCAAAAAGTGCTTCGAATGGTGCAGTTAGAAAAATGAAGACAAGGTATTTGATCCAACATGAGGCTCCAGAGGTGTCAGGGGGCGGGAGGAGGCAGGAGGCCGGCCCACAGTGCTCACCTGCCGGACAGACTCCTCCCTGCCTCCGCTCTCGGCCCGGACTCTGCTCGGTTCTTCGCTGCTGAGACTCAGACTCGTTGGTTCAGGTTCACCCTCAGAATAAAAACCACTGAGCGGCTGATCTTCTCCTGTGGATGTGACACGATGTCAAACAGCTGAAACACGCACGAGCTCCTCAGGTGAGTTCCTCCACATGCTAACAGGCTACATCCAGACAGGTGCAGGCGGCTCCTCACCGCCAAACCCACGCTCCTGTAAACAGCCGCTGTCGCCGATGTTCGCCGAATCCACCACTGTTTAGTCATCAACGTATTTAAAGTGTGTTTTCCATCAACGGACCTTCATTCAGGGACAGGTGAAGAAATAAGCTTATTTTCCGAATGAGGATTGGTTCTGTGCCTCCGAACCAGTTTAGATTTCAGGCTTTCAGAGCGAGTCAGTGAAGCTGCTCCGCGTTACATTCACTTTACACATGATTTAAAGGAGTAAAGGAACCAGAGGAATCACAGAGACAACGTTTATGAAGGTAGACCGAAGGATTGAAGGTTAGTTCAGTGTGTGTTCAGCTTTATGTCTCTGGAGGAACCTGATCATTGACCCACTTCTCTTCTCTGCTGTGGAGCTCAAGTGTGTGTTGTAGATATTAGAGCTTCAGTGTTTAATTGATCAGTTTGATTATTCACCTGTTGGAGGAAACATAGAAAACAAGAATTACACAAGAAGGAGTCAACATAGAGTTCATTAAGTTATATACCCTAAAAGTTTATGAATTAGTTGAGTTCAATTCTGCAAAATATATCAGAAGTTACTCCCACACAGGCGTCAGAACTGGTTTGAGTAGAGAATAAGAAAACAAGGGTAAGGACAGATATTACAAATATAGATTTGTGCCTGTTGGAGTAAATATAATGAGGAAATAAAATAGTGTATCTCACTTTGAGATGTATTTATTTCAATTCAAAATAAACTCAATGTGTGGTCACAAGGGCGGACACACAATATTATTGTAGTGACTAATATAGAAGAGTATGATGATGTAGGAGACATCAGTGTCTATGTAGGAGACATCACTGTTCTATGTAGGAGACATCAGTGTCTATGTAGGAGACATCACTGTTCTACGTAGGAGACATCAGTGTCTATGTAGGAGACATCAGTGTTCTATGTAGGAGACATCAGTGTCTATGTAGGAGACATCACTGTTCTATGTAGGAGACATCAGTGTCTATGTAGGAGACATCAGTGTTCTATGTAGGAGACATCAGTGTCTATGTAGGAGACATCAGTGTTCTATGTAGGAGACATCAGTGTTCTATGTAGGAGACATCA